CAGTCCCTGTACTCCTACATTTAGGTAAGTCGATAATTGTACCTGTTAGGCTTTCTTTTTTTTTTTTTTTTAAGTATTTTTTCGAGCTGGTTACTAAGTTACAGCCAATCACACTAGTCACATTTCAGTTGGTCACAGGAAGCCCACCTTTTAGGCTGGTCGTGCAGCCTGCCTTCCACCTGTGACCGGTGATCTCTCCCCCTCACTCCCTCACTCACGTTCTTGTAGGACACTCCCTTCTTCCTGGCCCAGGTCCTTTCCGGTTCTGCCCACAGGTGTTCCCTGTAAACCTCACGGCTGGCCCTAGTCTCTCAGAAGCCGTCTTCTCAGAGGCTACCCAATTTAAATCGCCTGCCCTTTGTTTACATAAACCCTATTAAAGTTTAGTTTGTCTAAATTTATCTTGATCACCACAATCCCTTCTCCTCCATTCTCTTGGGATGCTAAGCATGGACACACACATGCTGGCGTGATTTCCAAGCTGCTGAGTCCGGGACTCAAACCGTGGTCGGCTGTGTGGTAATCGAGCACCTTAATCACCGTGTCACCCACTGGCCCCCTCCTGAAGATTCTTCTTGACAAATGGCCCTGGTGTTTCTGCATTCTGAAGTACCAGATACGAAGGCACTCCTGAGAGATGCAGCTCTTTATCACGTGGCTCTACATCTAGCTGCGTCATCCCTGCCATTTTAGGTTGCTGTGTTAGTCCCATCGAAGGAGAAAATCAAGTCAGTGCAGCGCTTTTTTTTTTTTTTGGAGCGATTTTCACTGTAGGGCGCGTGGGCTCTCCAGACAGACAGAGAGAGACATAGAGACAGAAAGTGAGAAATCACTCCCCAGGGGGGATGGTCACGCCGCAATCCCTTCTCCTCCATTCTCCTCTCGGGATCTTGGGCATGCACTCACGCGCGCCCGGCGTGAGTTTTAAGCCACTGGGTCCGGGACACGAACCGCGGTCGACTACGTGGGAGTCCAGCGACATAGCCATTACGCTAACTGCTGGTTCCCAGTGCAGCGCTTTTCACGCCTTTCCTCTGCCATCCCTGGACGATGGAGACCTCCCTCCACAGAACTTGCCTCCCAGAGGACACTCTATGCCGTAGACTGATGTGGACGTGTTTTCCTACTCAATCTGACGCACACACATCAAAGCTTATCTGTTTTTGGCCCCTTCCTTCTGAGGTGAATACGAGCTAATCTGATTAACCAAAGAAATAGATAACATTTTTATCTTGGCAGAAGTTTTCAAAGCTGCAGCCAAAAGAAATGAGCTTTTCAGACACCAGGCAGGCTCGTTTGGGAATATTCTTGATCAGAAGGGCCTCTGGGAGCTCAGCAGTTTGGTCACATTCTACCCTGTGTCTTGGGACACCTTCGTTTGCTGATTTAGGCCCTGGGAAGAAATCAGTAGCGACCCCAAAGCCAGGAAGTCTCAGACTAGGAATAATAACTCGACTGAAGCTCCCCACCAAAATAAGACAGCTACATTCCTAGACGTGCAAAAACAAACAGACAAAAAGGCAGACGAGGGCTCTACTTTCTTTGTGATCCTCTTGCCTTATAGTTTTTTCAATCATTTCTTTCCTTGAACAACAGAGATGTACTCTAGTGACTTCCCTATGGTATCTCACGCTCTCCTCTCTTGTCCTATGAAAAATAAAAAAAAGTTAGTTGTTTTTTTTTTTTTTTTGAGAGTTTTTCGCTACAGGGCGCGTGCGCTCGCCAGACAGACAGAGAGAGACATAGAGACAGAAAGCGAGAAATCACCCCCCAGAGGGGATGGTCATGCCGCAATCCCTTCTCCTCCATTCTCCTCTCGGGATTTTGGGCACACACCCACACGCGCCCGGCATGAGTTCTAAGCCACCGGCTCCGGGACGCGAACCACGGTCGACGACGTGGGAGTCCAGCGACATAGCCATTCCACTAACTGCTGGTTCCCGAAAATTAGTTGTTTTTCATAGACTGCAGGAGATGAGATGTATCTTGTTGGTTCTCATTACGTGTCACAGAATATGTATCACATGAGGATGTGTGAACGCACATACGTCTTGTTTGAAGAATGACATTGACCTCTTTAATGTACCACACACGAGTTAAAAGCTAAGAAGCCAGACACAGAAGAGGACGTACTGTAGGATTTAATTTATGTGAAGTTCAAGAGCAAGCAAAACTCACCCCAGTGATAGTAATCAGAACAGTAGTGGCTGGGAGGTGGGGCTGACTCAGGAGGGGAATGATGTTGGAGATTTTATTAGGGTGTGATTTACACAGGTGCGACATTGTCCTAGCCCATGGGACGACTGACTTAAGATCTGAAAGTGGAGCTGTTAAAATGTCCCTCAAAACAATGATCACAGTATGGTCAGGAAGGCCTGTTATGTCATAGAAGAGAAGGGAATTTCCATATAGTGAAATTTCCTCCCTGTCTGTAAAATTCAAAAACATATAAAACGTCAGCCAATTTTCTAGACAATTTCAAAATCCATGAACGTTTTTCTTCAGCTCACACTGTCTATGTCTTTTCAAATGTTTACAGAGTATTTACAGAAAGTGGTCCATTGGGTGGCAGTTGTAATTAGGGAAACTGGCAACGAAAATTAACACATACCATAAAAGAGGGATAATTACCCCACTGGCATATACAATATTATTATCAAATGGTATTCACCCAGAGATCCAATTGGTTCGCACAGGCTGGGTCTCGTTGTTATAGTAAAGATCCTCCCTTTCTTGTTACCCTGAGTATGAAGCTGCCACGTTCCTCGGATGATATGCCATATGGTACTTAACATCAGAATCAAAATGAGCTTGTGCTTTTTGTGTGAGATGCTGAAATTTATTAGAAAATCAGAAAGCCTAATTTCCACCAAGTTCCTGAGACCTGCCATCTGCTGCATGAAAAAGAAAATGGAGGTTGTTTTTTTTTTTAACCATTTACTTATTGTGAAATGTGAGGGTGCTGGTGTGTGCTTTTGAAAAAACAGGGTTGGGGGCTGGAGCCAGAGTGAGCCCACTTGGCAGAGCAGCAAGAGTGTCAACTGAATGGTGGCAAAGTCTCGGGAAGCATAATTATGGAAATCGTCTATTCCGGAGCCTTTTGCCTCTTTTTTTTTCCCCCACCTCCTGACCACATGTTCTTTCTACATAGGGACTGTGCTTAGAGTCCAGCTTTTGAGACTAAGCCAAGTCTCCGTTCAGAAATGAGAGGAGAGTTAAACAAGTACTCGTGTCTCTGATTTCTGCATGGAGGAGGTGGTGTCAGTCCAGGTAGCCAACAATGGGGCCCGTGGATGGAAGGGTCAAGAACTCTCCTACAGGGAGCTGCAGAAAAAGGGACAGCCATGACAAGGAGGCCACATGGTGGAGTGACAGAGTGCTTACTACTGAGAAGGACAGAATCTGTCAACAAACTGGGAGTGCCAAGACCAAAATGCCGAAGGATGCTGAGGCAGGCGTCCGGGCATTCATTTAACTGGATGGCTTCAGACTCTGGCATGTCAGGTCCATGAGACTGTCTTCACCATATCCCATCCATATTGCAGTCCTGTGCCTCCACACTGCAGCCTGAAGTGCTCACCCCTTGATTTTATTGTATTTATTTATTTTTACTTTTTTTTTTTTTTGCACCAGAGCTGGCCTGTATGTTGGAACTGCCACAGGCAATGTTCATTGGACCTGATTAAAGGCTCGATTTCTCACCTCTAACCACAAACAATACTCAGGAAATAGACCTTTGGCAGCTAGCCTACCCGAGCCTAAACTAAAACAGTGATCCCGTGGAGAACAAGGCCTGTGGGCAGCAGGGGACTCTACATGATGACACTATAGGGTCAAGTGCTGGTCGAGGCAGGCTGTTCTTGGATGCTGTCCAAAGTGGTTTAATTAAAGAGGGACTATAAGGACTTCTCAGTAGACAATTTCAGTGTAAGTCAATCTACCAACAGGAGCTGGGGATATCCCTAAAGTTAAGTTCAGCACTCTGGGAATAGCCTGGGGCCAAGCGCCCCATGACCTGGCCACATGGGAGCAGAGTCGATGCCCTCAGTCCCTGCACTCCCCAGGTGATCATCCAGGTGACATCACACAGGGATCTAACGTAGAGATGGGTGACTTTGCAAAACCCTGCCAAGTTTTAGGAATCCTGACCTCCCAATTCAGCCAATCTAGGAAAGAATAAGACTCTAACTTCTCTGAGGAGGAACTGAGTGGGAGAAAGAGCAGAGTGAGTCTCTGAACTGGCAGCTAGGCTAGGTCAGAGCAAAGATAGCCCCAGGGTCCAGCAGGATCAAGCTTGTTCTCCCTCTCAGCCTTTGCCCTCCCAGGACTCTGCCTCCCCAGAGATTTTTGGGTCTCTGCTGCCCCAGGTACCAGGACTCCATGTTAGCAGAATAGCCCCTCTGTTATGTTAGCATCTCTGGAAGAAGCTGAATTTCAGGTTGAACTCCTGAGAGCTTAGCATCAGAGATGTATGTCCCTCTGGATGCCAAGCAGCCAGTCTCAATTGCTCCCTGGTGGCCTGACTTTTTAGTCCCTCAGTGACTTAGAGCTCAACACTTGCTCCTTGCTTGGAGGCCAGAGATTAGCTCCTGATTTCCCTGGGAACTGGCCAGGCCTCCATAAAACAGGATTCTGGAACTGCTGTGCGTCCTCGTGCAGGACTAAGGGCTGAGGTGGCAACATGGTAAGCAGCTCTCGGCATCCTCTCCCCTGACTCCCCTCAGCTTCTCTTTGTCGAGCACCTGTTGTTCGAAATGCGTATCATCCAAGAAGCTTGGCTATAGCGTCCTGAGCACGTCCTATGTGCCAAGAGCTTATTTCTATGACCTCATTTAACCCTTACTAAAACCTAGTGAGGAAGGGATCATTCTGATTCCATTTTCCTTGGAACAACTGAAGGTGAAAGAGGTTGTTGAAGGTCCAGGGTCAAACCACCAATGAAACATTGGTGGCAGTGATCAACCCTTAGTCTGACTCCAGAACCATTAATCTAAAAGCCCATGACGTTCCTGCAGTACGGTAAGCAATGGTATTTCCAGTGTAGCTCATGAGCAGACTGGGCTCAGAGAGATGAGGCAAGGGGCATCATGGAGCCCGGTTCTTCAGTCAACAGATAGTAGGCACTGGAAGTAGGACTTGGTGTGAAAGGTGGGAAGTCATCTTTACAGGAGAAAGATTTAGGTGTGGGTGCCACCAGGCAATGAGACTCCCTACCTGCTTGTGGGTCTAACTGGTTAACAGGCTATTTCCAGGGGGTTAGAGAACTTCAGTGCTGGCTTGGCACTCTTGCCAATTCCAGCTAGGCTCTCACATGAGTGAGGAGTTTGTCTTAGCAAGTGTCCCCTGCCACCTGGGTTGTGAGCAGCAATCCCAAGGCCCAGACATACCCTGGGCACATTGTGAGACTAGCCTGTCTGTTGCCTTTTTCTGCTCTCTCCAGGGGCTTAAAAAGGGCATATTTAGGGAACCAGCAGTTAGTGTAATGGCTATGTCGCTGGACTCCCACGTAGTCGACCACGGTTCGCATCCTGGACCCGGTGGCTTAGAACTCACGCCGGGCGCATGTGCGTGCATGCCCAAGATCCCGAGAGGAGAATGGAGGAGAAGGGATTACGGCGTGACCATCCCCCCTGGGGGCTGATTTCTTGCTTTCTGTCTCTATGTCTCTCTCTGTCTGTCTGGCGAGCGCACGCGCCCTATAGCGAAAACCTCTCCAAAAAAAAAAAAGGGCATATTTGTAGTTGGCAGAGGGTGAGGGGATCTCTCTCTGACCTATAAGGTCAAGGTCCTAAAATGATTAGCTATACCACTGCTTTGGGTCTGCTGAACACCAACGACAAGTGCTGGACTGTATGTCTCACTGACCCTAAACTCATCACACCAACAGGCATCATCCCAGTTGGGCATAACCCAGCAGCAGACCACTGGATTCCCCCAGGCCTCAGTTTCCACCCTGGGAGGGTGTTGCTAGGCAGTAGGCATAGTGCTTTCCTATGTTGAGCTGATACTCTTCGGCAAAGATCCCTGAGAAAAACAGTTGCTATCTTTGTTAACACTGGGTTGATTTAAAAAACCCGGGATTTTTTTTTAATTAACTCAGGTATGAGGTTTAGATTCAGTAATTATTTATTTAATAAGAATTTTTTAATACTTACCATGTACTAGGTTACTGTCTGAACGTTTTAGTCAAAATATAGATAAATGACACCTACTTCTAGGCCCCGAGAAACTTGTAATTTAAAAAGGAAAATATATAAATAAATATACATACTTACATATGTAAAAATGACATAAGTGTATACACACATACACACACCCATACATGCATATGCGTATGTGTGCATGTGTATGTATGCATGTTGATAGGTAGATAGATAGATAGACAGAAAATGTATATGTGTGCCCTGAGGTTCGTTTTTTTTTAAAGAGGGAAGACATTAGATTTTTAATTTATTAAATTAATTAATTAATTATTATTTAAAAATTCGCTATAGAGCATGTGTGCTCATTAGAGAGAGGCAGAGAGAGAAAGAGGGAAAGTGAGAAAGCAAGCTACCAGGTCCAGGACTCGAACTGTGGTCGGCCATGTGGGAGTTCAGCATCTTAACCACCACACCACCTACTGGTCCCCTGATATTTTAACAAACCAGCCCTGTGGTGACAAGGATGCTGAGGTGTCCAGGAGGGAGTCAGGGGCACAGGGAATGCTCACTGTTATGGGTATGGAAGCAGTTCTGTAGATCATGTAGCAGCTGAGCCATGGAGATTGGCCATCGAGTGCTGAATGAGAGAAGGAAACCTCATTCCGGAAGTGTTGCCCGTGTTTGGAGAACGGTGGGGGTGGTAGGCATTTTGGGTGAGCCTAAGACAGCAGGAGTAGGTGCTAAAATGAATCATAAATTATGACAGCGTATATTCAAAAGAATGCTTTGAATGTCAGCCCAGGCTGGAGGCGTGCCTGGGCCAGGTAGAGCCAGGCAAAGATGGAATGAGGGACCAAGATGACCTTGTGGTGGAACACTGGAAATATGGCCAGGCAGGGCAAACATCCCCTATTCCAGAAAACAAATGCGTAAGGTTAGATCCCTCTTCTCCCTGCTGGCATGGGTGTTTCATCTTTAAGGAATCTTTGTATGTAAGAATGCCAGCTTTCAAAATAAACCTTGAACCTGATATTGTGGGACAAAAGATTTCTTTAGGAAGAAATATTTTGAAAACTGGGCTCACGTGCTTTCAAATATAATCCAGTCATCCATAAACCCTTAAATTAGGAGGCCCCAGAATTGTGGAAGATGGGGTGGCATGCCTCAGGTATACTGCTCCTCACTAAGTAGAGGTATTTATTGTTCCTCCCTTATTTATTTATGTTTTAAATTGTACTTTTCGATGGGAGGAAGAAGAATGAGCAAAGATGAACGAACAAACCCAGAAGAATGACTTTCTGTGAACCTGAAGATATCGCCATCTATGTTTCTCCTTTTTTACTTTCATACATAACCCAGATTCATGTTTATAAAAGAAAACAATTCTGTCCTTTCACTGTCTTTTTGGAATTGACAGGAAGTGGCTGCCCTTCCTCTCTCCCACATCTAAACGCCTCCATTTGCCACTGTTAGAAACTCTTCTCTTCCTCCTAACCTGTCAACATAAAAAGGCAAACTGAGGCAAAGTATGTAAAGTAAAAGGAGTTTATTTGGGCTAAGCTCACGGACTGCCATCTGGTACATAGCTCCAGTGGACATGCTCAGGCTGCTCCCAACATGTGCCCTGAGGTCTTATAATTCTCAAGCAGATTTTAAAGACAAAAATCACAGGTGGGAGGGGAGGGGGAAGAGAATTATTCGTTATATGGGAGGGCTATCCTTGGCCACCAGGATCAGTAACAAGGGTGGCATCTGTCCCAGGCCGGACAGGCAGTCTCTGGGCAGATGTCCTCGCAGGAGTGGTTCTTGTGCCAGGCTGCAGTGGTCTTCGTGCCAGGCTGTGGTTCCTGCCGAGTCCACACAACAGTTCTTGTATCAGGCATGCTAATGTAAAAACACACCTCCTCCATGGCCTTCCCGGCTCCGTTTAGTCAGGGTTCAATACAAGCTGACATAAATTACTCCATTTTGATTCTGACAACTTTCACAAACCAAACCAATTCCCTGTTTTGGACAGGACAACCCTGAACAGTACACTGTTTCCTTAACTTCCTCTAAGTATTATCTGATTTCAAATGCAGTTCATCTGTTTTCTCTGTGGAAGCAACAGAAGTGGTGAGTGGCAAGGTGTTTCCTAAGTCAGGAACGACTGCAGCTAGTAAGCAAATAAAATCACGAGAAACAAAAAAAAAAGGTATAATTAGTTTCTCCAAGAGGGTGCCTTTGCACATTTCCTGAAAGACCTTTAAGAGTGTCTGTGACTGGGATGACATGCTTCATTCTGCATATGTAGTTTTCTCTTTGTTTTATGTTCTAGTATGGCTTTATCAACACCTGTCTGCAATCCCTTGTGACAGAGAAATTTGGTGAAGAGACTTGGGAAAAACTAAAGTAAGTATATTAAAGAAAGACAGAGTATCCCTGGAACAACTGGTTCCAAGGACAGTGTAAAGGCTACAGCTTTTCACCAACTGTTTGCTTTAGTCAGGTAGATCCATTATAATACAGAGATGGTCTGAAGGATACCCAATCCTAGGGAAATTGATTCAAGTTCCTTAAACGTACCAGCTATTAGAGGTACAGAGCAAACCTGGTAAGACATAGCTGTCTCTAAATAAGGTGTCAGCCTAGATTCCTAAAGTCAGTCCTAGAACAGGGTCCCCATGTAAATAATACCCACATTATTCTAATTTGTATCTCTGAATGAATTCTCATTTGCTCTTTTTAATTGCAGAATAGAAAGCAATTGCATATTTCCATTATATTAGTGAAACTTTTGATCAGAAGAGTGGGTATCCCTTAATTCAACCAGAATCATTTCGTAGGTGTTCTTTAATTCTTTGTTTTTCCTCTATGCCTCCCTCACGACCCCTTAATGCTGTCATTTCCAGGTCCATATAGCCTCCTGTCTGATTCTTGTAGTTGTGCTGTCTATCTGCCTTCTTGGAGATTCACAGCCTAAAAATATTAGAGGTGGGGTTGAAAGGGGCTCAGAAATCACCTAGCCCTATAGAGAGAGGAGATCACAAAAATGGGAAAATGATTGGCTTCTTCAGTTAATCAATGACATGCAAATTAAAATAAGTAGGCACTGCTTTGCCTATCAAATCCCCCCAAATTTAAATGATAATAACCAATCCTGGCTAAGATGCAGCAAAATGAGTAACTGCTGATGGCATTGTAAATCAGGGCAGCCCTTTTGGAAAGCAATTTTTACAACATGTTCTAAAAGCTAAGAAAATGATCAAATCCTTCAAAGTAGTGAGTCCATTCTTGAGAATCTATTCTCTTAGAAACACATATACCTACCTATAAACATATATGTATGTATGTGCAAAATGATGTGATATAGCTTTATATTTAAAAACATTTAAAAAATTAAGTGTTTAGTGGTCAAAAACAAACAAACACATGGAATGACAAAATGCGTTATTACGTGTGATGATTGCAATGATCATGAAGCAACCTATAAAAATTTATGACTATTTTAAACAAAAAAAACCAAGAAAACAACAAAAGCACAAATTTACAGAGCTACCAGATAAATCGTACAAATGAAAAGACTAAGAAAAAGACTGAAATAATAATAGCAAGTGAATTAGAAAGATAGAAGGCTAGATGATTTTTCCCTAAGAGCTGCAGATTAAGCACCACTAATCCAAAAATCCAAAATTCAAGATATTCCAAGATCTGAAACTCTTCAAGCACTGACATAATCACACAAGTGGAAAATTCCATACCTGACTTCAAGTGGTGGATCACAGTCAAATCACCTCTAGGATATGTGTGCAAAGTATATATGACACATACATGAATTCTATGTTTTGTCTTTGGTCCCGTCCCAGGATATCTCATTATGTAGATGCAGATATTCCAAAATATGGACAAAAATATGAAATTCAAAGCAGTTCTGATCCCAAGCATTTTGGATAAGGGAATATACAACCTATTTTTCCCAAACTATTTATTTTCCAAATATCTATCTACTTATCTATATATTAATGTAAAAACAACTTGAGATGCATAGTGCAAATTTTCCGTCTCTCTCTCATCCCCACTGCACAAATAAAGTAATTGGAGCTGAAAGTGCATGTGACTTCTAAAGCCACAAGGTTAACTTGAGGCAGAGTCAGACCCAACCACGCTCCCTTCGGTGCCAGCTCTGCACCGTGTCATTGAAGCCCACTGCCCTCACACATGGTGCCCCCAGAGCCCTTATTCTAGGGAGAGCATTCCAGGTTTATTTCCTCAGCATCTCTATGGCAATTTGCTTAGAGTACCACAAATTTGGGGCTCTAAGACCCCAAAAGTAACTCTGGCCTCATAGTGGCAAATAATACCCATTTCCAAATATTTCATTAAATAAGTATGATGAGAGAAATGGACTGGTGGACCTCTGAGCCAAAGTCAGTGTCTCAAAGTGCTCCTTTCGGGGCCAGCCTGTGATGTGGAGGTTAAGGTAGCTAGATTCCATATGACCAATTGTGTGGTTTGAGTCCTGGATATGGTGACTTAAAAAAACACACCAAGCATGTGAGAGTGCATGCCCAAAATCCCTAAAGGAGAGAGAAATGGAGGAGAAGGGATTATGGCATGACCATCCCCCTGAGGGAGTGCTTTCTCAGTTTTCCTCACTCTTTCTGTTTCTCTCCAGCAAGCACATGTGTTCTCTGGTAAAAAAGTAAAAAAAAAAAAAAAAAAAAAAAAAAAAAAAAAAGTGATCCTTTTCAATCCTCTATATTGTCTTGGGGAGAGAAGCACTTGAAGGTTCTGAAATATTTTGTTTCTTTTTTTTTTTTTTATTGCCAGAGGACATATGTGCTTGTGAGAGAGAGAAGGGGGCGGGGGAGCACTCTTCGATGAAGCGTAGTCATGTCACTGTCCCCTGTCCTCCATTTTTCTATCCTGCTGGGATTTGGGCATGCAAGCATATGCACCCTACATGTGTTTCATGCTGCCATGACCAGGATTTGAATCTCGGTTGGCTATGTGAAATTCAACTCCCAACACACAGAGCTTTATCACTGCATGATGGCACCATCCAAATTCTGAGTTCTTTGGTTTTGGGGGTTTTGTTGTAGTTTTAAGGTCATTACCTTGTAAAGGTTAAATGCAATAAGACTAAAGGATGAAAGGAGCAGTCTTCCTGTATAGTTTACTTTGGGCCAGGCCCCTTACATAGTGATTTTACTGAAGTCCAGCAATAACCCTGTAAGGCAAATGACTGTTTCACTGAGGAGGAAATTGAGTTCCCCAGAGGACTGTGTTAAAGTGTATAGTTAAGTAGCAGGGCTAGAACTCAAACCCAGGCCTGTAACTGCCAGGGGCTCCACTAGGCCACAGTGCCCGAGAACAGGAAGAGACCCCGGTGACAGAAATGCTTTTCCTTCATGCTGAGCCTCTGGGTAAAGTTAAGGGGTATCTCCTTAAACATGCATGCTGAGCTCCTCTGGTATGCCTGGTGCTATGATACTGGAGGATTAAAGAATCACATAAGACATATTGCCTAGATGGTTTTATAATATGTAGAAACATTGAGCATTTGCGGGGATTTCAAAATGGTTGTGGAAAATGGGAATAAAGTGTGAGTTTATTTCAGTTCAAAAAAAATTTGAAATCCACGCATGCATGGTATTTTTATAATATGGGTTTTCATTAACTTTTTGAAGACCCTGTGTATATCTGAAACATAAAGAACAGGGTGCTGTAGGTCCGTGTCATCTGGGAAATGGATCATTTGCTCTGCTACAAACTAGATAGGATGGGTCAGCTGCAGTTCTGTCCCCCATCTGCCTTCTGGAGGATCAATTGTCCCTCCTCAGAGGCTACTCAGCCTTAGAAGGAGGAAGGAGAGGTAGTGAGCTCAGACAGGCTGCTGGGTGGTCATAGCCATGTGGGCTGGGGAACCAACTTGGAAGCAGGATATTTGTATTGTCAGGAGTCACTGGACATGGTTGCAAGTTCCTAAGAAGCTACCGTTGGATTCAACAGGTGTTCTGGGGCTGTAAGACTTGGAGTGAGAGTCCAGAAGTATTGCTGGTGTTGTGTGTGGCCCTGAGTGTGATACTTGAACATTTTGTGACCCAGGTGTTTTGCCATCAAAGAATGATAATAAAAGTAGATAACTTGATAGGGGCTGTTGCATGTGTTAAATGAGATAATACAAACCAAAAACTTAAAAAATAATGCTTGGCCAGGGATGAGTGTTTAAAAAATTTAAGCTACTGTGGTTGAAGGTGATGCTTGTTAGTGGCTTTTTTGTAAGATGCTGGTCCTCAGGTAGGTGAGGAAGGGCTGTAGAGGCTGTAGGGTGTTCTTCCAACTGGATTGAATTTGAGTCCTGGCTCTGCTGCTTGGAGTTGTGTGTTCTTGAGCAGGTTGTGTCACTTCTCTGAAGCTCTGTTTCCTCATTGATTAAAAAGGGGAATAATGCACCCATCTCTTAGGGTTGAGGAAAGGACTGAGTTAGATAATGTACTCCAAAATACCTAGTAGGAACTCTGTAAGCATTGTTCTCCCCTCCTTTAATATATAGATGCAACGTTAGGATTAGATTGTATTTGACGTTAATGGAAACCACTTTGGGGCTGATCAAATAATTTAGCCTTCCATCCTGAAGAAGCACATACTCCTCAGAGGCTTCCTTTGCCTAGAGAAGACTTGGCTTCTTAAAGTAAGCATGTTTTGATGAATGACTTTATCTCTGCTCCTTTTTTTTTCTTTCTTTTTCCTTCCTTCCTTCCTTCCTTCCTTCCTTCCTTCCTTCCTTCCTTCCTTCCTTCCT